CACACACACACACACATATATATATATATATATATATATATATATATATACACACACAGTATGTACAGTATACACTGCTGTTCAAAAGTTTAGGATCAGTAAGATTTTTAATTAATGGAGTCTCTTATGCTCACCAAGGCTGTATTTATTTGATCAAAAATACAGAAAAAACAGTAATATTGTGAAATATTATTGCAATTTCTAATATTGGTTTCCTATTTTAATATAATTTATTTCTGTGACACAGCGGTGAATTTTCATCAGCCATTACTCCAGTCTTCAGTGTCACATGATCCTTCAGAAATCATTCTAATATGCTGATTTATTATCAGTGTTGAAACTGTTGTGCTGCTTAATATGGATTTTGGAACCTGTGATACTTTTTTCTTTGATTCTTTGATGAATAAAAAGTTTAAAAGAACAGCATTTAGGCAAAATAGAAGTATTTTCTAACAATATAAGTCTTTACTATCACTTTTTATCAGTTTTATCCAGTCTATACATTTGAGTGTGTATGCTTTTGTGTATTTTGAATAAAAGTATTAGTTTTCTTAAAAAAAAGAAAGAAAAAAATTGACTGACGCTAAACTTTTGAATAGTAGTGTATATTGTAATACAAAATGTCTATTTTGAATAAATACTGTTCTTTTTAACTTTTTATTTATCAAAGAATCCTGAAAAAAAAATCACAGGTCCCAAAAAATGTTAAGCAGCACAACTGTTTCCAACATTGATCATAAATCAACATATTAGAATGATTTCTGAAGGATCATGTGATATAAATATATTAAATAAATATATAGCATTTGTGCTCATAGACACTCAAAAAATGCAATTGTATAATATATGCATTTTACCTAATTACTTTGTTAAAAAAAGGAAAGGAGGAAAGTGTTAAGTGTTTTTGTATGGTAGGTGATTGGTAGGTATGGTATCAGGTGATTGCTGCCATCTTTAAAGGGCTCCTCCTATTATGCTTTTTCACTTTTTCAACTTTAGTTAGTCTGTAATGTTGCTGTTTGAGCATAAAACAAATCTGCAAAGTTCAAAGTCCACTTCAAAAGGAGATATTTTATTTAACAGAAATCACTTTTCAAAAACTACAACGAACGACTCGTTTGGACTACAATGCATATTTTCCGGGATTTGTGATATCACAAATACAGACGAATGGGACGACACCTGGTTGAGCTGCACTAGAGAAGGCAACGAGTGTTATCACTATGTTGGAGACACGCTAGTTAAAACAAAAAAGGGCCCCTTTAAAAAAAAAAAAAAAAAAAAAAAAAAATTATAATAATAAAAATCTTTAAAGCATCTGTTCAGGTCTCATAATGTAATTGTACATGCTGGCTGATGTTCTGATGTTCTGGAAAAATAATGGAGAATTTTGTTGTGTCTAATTTTCTTTATTGTCTGGCAAGTTGATTGTGAGGCCCTGAAGATTCAATATTTTAGCCCACAAATTCAAATCTTTTTGGCCCCTAACAAATGGCACCCAGCTATGCGTCCAAAGACTGGTCACAGAATGCATAAACTGTTGGATAGCAGGCCCAGCCATCAAGTTCATTCCAGTGTGGACTTCACAAAAGGCGCATTGGAGCTTTATTTTGAGCATCTTTTAACCCCTAAAGTGACAAATTTGATATCCTATAGTGCCATGGTCCAGTGGATGGTTTTGCTTTTATTTTTCAGCATCAGGAAAGTCTGAATTTTTTGGCCGACTATCTCTGTCATTCCATTAGCAAGCCCACATCCAGCTCTTTATTCATCACAGAAATCATTCTTTTCGCAGGGAGGTTTCCACATTGTGCTTCCATTCCTAGATGTGTGCAACATTTTGTTTAGCATCTGCCGTATGACAGCATCCGGTCCGGGCCAGCTGGAAATGCTGGGCCCGTCTAGATGTTGGAATGTTTTGTGGCAGTGGTTCTGTCTCCCCTGTTGGAGCGGGCCAACCTGTAATCTGTCTGAGGTTTTGTGCTGGAGAGTCAAGGCTGCATAACACCTAAATAGCACGTTAACCTCAGAATTCTTCCCATGCTGTGGTGTACTGACGAATGCGGCAGGAAAACATCGGTGAACCTTCTGCGACTTCGGTGGGGTTCAACATACTCCGCAAGGCCCTGTTATGACCATGTGGAAAACGCATTACAAAGTAAACCCTGAATGTAGATGAGTCATTTATACCTTGAAACAGCTTTTCGAGAAATACTTTCTTGTGGTTTTTCACTGCTCTACACAAAGGACTGCATTGTATTATGTTGTTGTCTTAAATCAGACACCGTGATTTGCACTGGGATAAATTTGATTTGTTGTATCATTTAAGTCAACATCAGATGTTACTTTAATTTTCAGCTCGATAAAATAAAGTGAGTTGTTTACTGCTGGGACAAATGCTTCTTGTTTTGTTCTAAAAGGGTCGGTTTTCTCCTTTCTGTTGCAGGTCCTGGCTCTCATTTCTTTCATCTTCATTGAGACCATAATGATGTGCTCGCCCTGTGCCGGCGTCTACCTCTTTGAGTTTGTCAGCTGCAGTGCCTTCGTTGTCACAGGTGTCTTGCTCCTCATCTTCAGCCTGAACCTGCACACCAAAGTGCCCCATATCAACTGGAGTCTAACAGTATGTATAGTTCTTATCAAGATCCACACAACCTTACAAAATCCTTTACAATGTTAGACATTTAAATGGATATTTTGCCCCCTTTTTTTTTTTTTTTGTGCAATTTATTCACCCTCATTTAATTCCAAACTTGTATGACTAATTTTAATTTACTTTAATTTAATTTATAGTGCTTATTTAATTGTGCATTTTCTGTCAGTTTCTGATGTGTATTTATCTGAGCATTGAGAGGAAGTGTTTTCCTTGAAGATATTTTTGCAGTGTAACTACTTTTCCTTCAATCCATTTTTAATGGCATAATATTTTAAGAGGCACTTGTGATGATAGATTATCGAGGCAGAAGTTATTTGTGACGATCAGCTGTTTACATAAATGGAAGAAGTTTTTTGTTGACAAGACATGCCAATAACTGGCTTTTTAGAAAGCAAGCCGCTCTCTTGCGTCCAGTGCTGCTGAGGAGGAGGCCATGAACACGGGTTCATATTGCTCAGAATGAAGCTTGTGTGCTCATAGCTCTCATTAAACCCGCTTCTAGCAAACATAAATGGCTGCTCTTGGGAGATGAATTTACTGATTCACTGAAAGATTAATAAGGCATGGTTCCTTTTGTCTCCCTGCGTATACACACACACACACTCACACACAATGCTCAGCATAATTGGACCTCAGTGCTGTGGATCTATTACAGAGCTTATGATGGAAAAAGCTGTAGAGTTTTATTTCCAGAGCTGTGCACGAACCAAGAAAAGTAACAGCAACTCACATCCAACCATAACTATTGCGTTGCATTATGGTATACTGAAGAATATGTGCTTAACCTCACATAGACAACAAGGAAGTGCCTCTGCCGCTATAAGTTTGAATTTCAGTGTTTTACTACACCCAAATGTAGACCCCTTTTTACAAACTGGTGTAAAAAAGTCATATATTTATGCATTTAACCTCAATTAAACATGTATAAAGAAAGCTTAGAGCATCACATTTTGATTTAGGACAAGGCCTTTACTCTAAGTGCTTTTTTGTGTTGGCTTTTTGCCACTTTTATAGAAGTGCTTTTTAAAAATTGCTTCTATTTCTTTCTCTGTGTTTCTCCTCTTCTCTAGTTGCTTCCTAATCTAACTAACCTGCCATTATATATTACGGAAATTGTTTTGGCTCATAGACAGATTGCTTTTGTTCCTCCTTTGTAAGTCACTTTGGATAATTTCATTTAATTTATTAAGGATAGAATTTCATTTTTTTTTTCAGTGGATAAATGACAGGAAATGGTGGGGTAAGAAAATAAAACGAGATCAGGAAATGATGAGAGCTGAATTCAAACTTAAATACCTCACATGAGCATCAAAGCTCAACTTGCTAGATCACATAAACCACATTTTGGCTGATGGGAGAGATGTTAAACAGGGTGAGAGTGTATGCTTTTGTGTATTTTGAATACTGACGGGTTGGGGTTTTCTTGGTATTGCTATGGCTCATTGGAAGATCTATGATCTTTAGGATCATTTCAGCTGTGGTGGGGCTGAGGTTTTGGACTGAGCATCATCTCCTGCCAGTTGGACCCCATGGGCCCAGGCCTCTCATTTGTTCTGGAATGGATGCACCGGGAGGGGGGCTCTCCTCCCCTCTTTCGTGTTTGTATCTCCAGCTTGCGTAACTTCACCACTGCTGTGCTTCAGGAACTTTCACATAACGCAGTGCTAAAAGTAAACTGTACTTTTTGGTCCTGTAATTGTGGCCTCTGTCTCAGAAGAGGGTTTTTTCCTTTTGAGAGAAAATCCTCCCAAACCCAGCAGCAATTAAACTTCTTTCTATAAAGAGCAGAAATATGGATGGTAGAACTTTTAGGTCTTAAAATCAGATGTTTGTGCTAAATCCGTTATTTTCTAATGTTGATTTAGTTTAAATAGTGGCAGATTGGAGCGTATACACATAAAACTAGCTGGTAGTTTCTTGTGGCAGTTGGTTTTGTGGTGGACGATTGTACAGCACCCCCTATTCCCTTGATTGCTTTGATGGTGTGATCCAGTGCCAGGCTCAAAGGGGGCTGGCATAGTGACTGACATTATTGAAAGTGATAGGTCAGTAGAATGAGCACATTCAGCTTGCGGTGGTACGCTGGCACCATTGTACCCATTAACAAATCGTCTCCAACCACACACACATACATATACAGAAAAGCATGGCCAGTGTTCATTGAGCACAACCAAAAATAGACAGGGTATTTTAATAGAAAGTGAGGAAAGATTTGACTGTGAGGTGACGGGATAATGATTGGTTTTACATCGTGTGCTTTAATGGAATGGCCACTCTGAGACTTGAGAAGCTTTGCAGTGAACCGATGATTATGTGTCATTACTGAACACGAGCATGAGGCCAATTGTGAGATGGGTAAAGATGCATTAAAGATGTGTAATTTGGAAATCTGACTGATAAAGACTAAATTACTATTATTGAACTATGTAAATGTACTTTCATTTTTTTGTTTTCTCATATTCTAATATTATCAGAATGATTTCCCATCTAGTACCACCTTTTATAGTGATGGGCCTGTTGGAGGATAAAGGTTAATAATGTATCATGCTGTCTGTCCACACACACACACAGCATCCGAGAGCACCAGCACACCAGCGGAAGGTCCAGGAAAAGCTTTAGCAGCTTCATTTAAAGCTAAAGTCTCGCCACTGAGGCGGATAAAGAGATATGACTGAACGTTCAGGATTCTGGTTATTTTACTCCGCAAATCTGGAATGAAATTAGTTTTAGTTTTTTCATTTTTTTTTAAATTTCCAAGATCTATGGGCCTCCTGTTGCCTAAAGCAGTGTCTAACGCAGTATTCACGCACCACTGCGAATATTTGGCACAGGCTGTATACTGTTAAGACCCCACCTAACTCATGCATGTATACATTTTTTACATTGATTCTCTGCTTAAATATGTTTCTTGTGCATATAGTTTTTTTTTTTTACAATTAAAAAAAAATCTTTCTTTCTTTCTTTCTTTCTTTCAATATATTAAAAAAATCGAACTAATTCCTGTCATGGCAAAAGTTACTTCATGTGATCTTTCATATGATCCTTCATAAATCAAAAAAATCAAAAAACATTTCTTATTATTATAGATGTTGAAAACTATGGAAGCCCATTTCCGCCACTGAATAAAAAATAAAACTTTTTTTATTTCTCAGAATTGTGAGATATAAACTTGCATTTGCGAGTTATAAAGTCAGAATTGCGAGATATAAACTCGCAATTGCGAGAAAAAAGTTAGATTTGTGAGATAAAAAGTTGCAATTACCTTTTTTATTTTTTATTCAGTGGCGGAAATGGGCTTCCATAGAAAACTAAATATTTTTGTGGAAACCTTGATTCATTTTTTCAGGATTCTAGCATTTATTTGATATTCTTTTGTATCATTATAAATATCTATTATTATATGTGACCCTGGACCACAAAACCAATCTTAAGTCACTGGGGTATATTTGTAGCAATAGCCAAAAATACATTGTATGGGTCAGAATTATCAATTTTTATTTTATGCCAAAATCATTAGGATATTAAGTAAAGATCATGTTCCATGAAGATATTTTGTAAATTTCCAACCATAAATATATAAAAACTGAATGTTTGATTAGTAATATGCATTGCTAAGAACTTAATTTGGACAACTTTAAAGGCAATTTTCTCAATATTTTTATTTTTTTCTGCTCCCTCAGATTCCAGATTTTCAAACAGTTCTTTCTCGGCCAAATACTGTCCTATCTTAACAAACCATACATCAACGAAAAGCTTATTTATTCAGATGATGTATAAATTTATTCAGATAAATGTATTATTATTTATTCAGATGATGTATAAATCTCAATTTTAAAAAAAATTGACCCTTATGACTGGTTTTGTGGTCCAGGGTAACATATTATAAATGCAAATCAATTTAATTCATCCTTGCTTACAATGTTCCAGTAATATTATAAAACAGGTCCATTTCAAGTACAGAGATCATCAGTCCTTTGTTAACAACGTGGAGGGCCGCAGTGGCTGTTAAATACATCAGAGATCTGAACCCAGTGTGAACACTACATTTCCCAGTTTTAGACCCCTCCTGAGATCAGTTTGCTTTCTCTACATGCAGCCTGCCAAAACACACACTACTGAAAGTACATTTTAAGAAAACTCATGACTGCTTTTGTTTGTGTTCAGTTTCATATTAGGTTACCTGCATTAAATGCTTAATCATTGAATGTAAACTTCCATCAAGCTAGTAATGTATATTTATAACTAAATAATTCTGAGGACTTGGTACTTTTGTTCCACCTCAGGCATATGCTTTGCGTTCTTACACTTAGAATATTTTAAGCGTGTCAGCAGTTTTTAGCATTAAGTGTGTTTCAGTTTGGTTTGGCTTGCGTTTGATCCATCTGTTGAAGTATGTGTGAAGGCAAAGGCTGGTTTGGCATGTGTTTGAATGATTGAGACCGTATCCTGGTTTTGGCATATAGTTCGTGTTCTATATTGCGTGTGAGATGGGCATGGGTTCGCTTGAGTGAGTGTGGATGAGAGAGAGCGAGAGAGAGTATCATGTGAGACAGTGTGTGTAATCACTCCCATCATGCATTTTGTCACATGGGTGGCCATGCCTAAGTCACGCTGGAGTGCTTATTGGCTGCACACAGACGAACCACCCAGCTTTATCCCTTCTCTCCTCTCAGAGTGTGTATTTATGGAGGTTTTAAGGATAAAGAAAGAGAAAAGGAGACTTTAATGTTCTGTAGTGTAAGGAATCTGGATGTTACCTTATTTTTAAATAATAAAATAAAAATAAAATAATCTGTAATATATGTTTGTAATTTGTGTGTGTGTGCGCGTGCATGTTTATGACACAAATTTGTATAATGACATGGTTATGACATAGGTATTACAACGAGAAGGTGATTTATGAGGACACTTTCGGTATCAAAAGGCTTCAAAAGGCTTATAAATCATACAGAATGAGGTTTTTTAATGCACAAAGTTTTCTGTGAGTGGTAGGTTTAGGTGTAGGGTGGGTGTAGTGCGATAGAAAATACCATTTGTACAGTATAAAAACCATTAAAAAAAACAACGTGTGTGTGTGTAATCTTTTTCAAATATTTTCATGACGCATCTTAAGTGTACTTTTACACAACAACACCAATTTACTAAAAACTGAAAAGTTTACCTTTTTTGTTCATGAAAACTTATATACCGTATACAGACAACGGCATTGTCAAAATGATCCCTGTTCACAAATATTTGTGAAAAAGACTAAAAACTACTGCCAGGCCAGAAACACTATGCACCTTCACACATACCTATAGACTGAACACATATTACGCATGCGCATGACGTCACATTTTTCACAAATTCACATTTTTATAGTTTACAGACAAAAACAGTATCGTTTTCCGTTTTCATAAACCTGCACTTTCTAGGCCCCCAAATTGCAGATTATCATAAATCACTTTTACAATTTTTAGCTTATCTTAAGAAATGTTCAATACACCACAAAGGGGGGGCCTCATGGCCTAATGGTTAGAGAGTCGGACTTTTACCCCGATAGTTGCGGGTTTGAGTCCCGGTACTGGCAGGGATTGTAGGTGGGGGAGTGTAACTGTTGACATTATATTGTTTATATTATGTATATGTTGTTTACTTTTATCTGAGACCATTTTTGTTATGAAGAAACTAAGTTGCATTTATTATCTGTGACCAGCGCTCTCTTCCACCCTCAATACCAGGACTGAGGTGAAACCCTTGAGCAAGGCACCGAACCTCTAATTGCTCCCAAAAATGCTGCAAAAAATGCCTACCCACTGCTCCGGTGTGTGTTCACGGTGTGTGTGTGTGTGTTCACTACTCACTGCTGTGTGTGTGCACTTGGATGGGTGAAATACAGAGCACAAATTTTGAGTATGGGACAGACACCATACTCGGCCACATGTCACATCCTTTTCCTTTTTTAAACCAAATATTTAATTTTCCAAGGCATAGCAGTTCAAAATGTCTTTCAAACTGGCCCTGTGTCAGCAGGACATCTTCAATAGTTGAACTGTGGTCTGTGATTAGATCAATTCCTCATCCAGCAGATTCGTGTCATACTGCATGTCCTGTACAACTGCCTAGAGCTGAGAGGAGCAGACAGTCTGTGTTTACTTGGAGACATCAAAGCCAGCGGGTCGTGCTGCGTCGGCCTGCGATGTGAAATTTGAGGTGCCAGCCACTGAGGTTGTGCTTTGAAGGGCTTGTTACATTTCACCCCCCCACAGAGTCATGGCTTAGACAAAACCCACGTCCATTCCAGACTCAGGAGGAGTGAACAGAGAAGGATTTGGCCTCATTTCAGAAACCTCCAACTGGTTCTTCTCATCCTCACTCTCTCCTGAGAGCTTGGACTCTGAATTTGTTACAGTATTAAAACTGTAAACTGTGACGTTACCGTTACAAAGTGGTGGGTGTATTAATAGAGGGAAAACTGTGATAGTAGTAATCAAAAATAGGAAAGAGACTTTCTTTTGAACTTTCTATTCATAAAATAATGCTAAAAACAGTATCATGGTCTCCACAAAAATATTAAGCGGTACAATTGCTTTCAACAGTGGTAATAAGAAATGTTGCTTGAGGCACAAATCAAAATGATTTCTGAAGGATTTCATGAATGTTGCCCAGCAGGCACAGGATGTAACGTCAGGTTGACGCTGGACATGATGTCACACAGACGTTGTGGTTGAGAATGAAAATCGTGTTGACGTCAGTATTTGACGCCAATTTGACATTGACTTGGCATTGGATTTTGGTTACACAACCTAAAAACAACAAATATCAACATCAGCTGACGTCGGTATTGGACATTGATATTAGACATTGAATCGACATTGAATTTTGGTCACCTGGCATCGCAACCGAAATTTAACCAAATATCAACGTCTTACAACGGTGTGCGCCTGCTGGGTTGTAAGTAAATAGTGCATTTGCCTGCCTCCTGCCTGTCAAACTGCATCACTGCAGTCAGCATAGCCACACCTCGCTGCCAGCTAGCTACTTGTTTGATCATTAAAGGTTTACTTGTAGTTTGATGAACTCTTTAACTTGTGAATGTGTAAACGTGTCTGTTGATATCACTTCCCTTATGGAAATGTTATTATTTAATGAGCTAACCTCTATGAGCACATACACACAGATAATGGTTGCCCCTCCTTCTCTCTTTGTAGACATAATTTGTTATTTGAAGGAGATTCGTCTCTCTTCTCCTGGAACAAAACATGGCAATGAAAGTATATGCGTTGCTTGTGTGTGTTATTGCGTGTGGAGAGATGTGTAATTTACAAATTTCAACACCCCAGTCCCACATTTAAATGTGCTTGTCAAAAAATCCCAAAACTTAGTAGCGTATACAAACCCACGTGCCTTGTATGTTTAACAGATCAGAGGTCATTTTGAAAACATAATGTATACACTGTGCAAACGTTTTTTTTTGTTAGTTTTTTTTTTCAGCAGCCATTACTCCAGTCTTCAGTGTCACATGATCCTTCAGAAATCATTCTAATGTGCTGATTTGGTGCTCAAAAACTTGAACTTATCAATCTTGAAAAGAGTTATGCAGCTTAATATTTTTGTGGAAAACACTTTTTTCAGTATACTTTAATTCTCTTGTTCTCTCTTGCAGGATCTGATCAACACTGCCACCAGCACCTTGTTCTTCTTTCTGGCTTCAGTGGTTTTGGCAGCTCTCAACCATCAAACTGGAGCAGAGATCGCAGCTGTGGTATCTATCCCCTTACTCAGCGCTTTATTTCATGAATTCTGTCTCTGTGATTGTGGGTGAATTCAAATGTTTAGTCATTTCTCAAGTATTTGAAGTGGGCCCTAGTCTGCCGGGGTTCTGCTGCCCTCAAGTGGCTGAAATAGAGTAAGCACATAGTCATTCCTGGAGACAGGAAGACAAAGGGAAGTTCTGAGCAGTCATAGTCACCATCAACCTAAAGGTTTTACATGTTTTTCTTTAGTTCTTTGATTTTTAATACTGAAAATCGCACTGCTTCCTCTTTTCCTCTTTCTCCATCCCACTTCTCTTTTCACTCAGTTTTGTTTTTCTTTTCCTCTTGTGTTTCTATTCCAAAATTCACAATGTGTGTCAAGTTTTTACTCTATCACTCATTATAAATTCCCACATAATTTAGTTACACATTAACCTCATGTTTGTAAAATATTTTAGCCTATTTGATTATGTTTTAGCTGTCAATAAGACACACTCAGCTCTGTTTAAGTCTGTTTCACAGAATAACTGGGAGCCCTTTTCCACCTAAAATCATAAAAGATCAATAATCATGAGATAAAGTTTTTAAATTAGAAATGTCAGATACAATGTAGCAGTTGTGAGATTTTAAATCAGTTATCTTTAATTTTTTTTTTTTTTACTTTGAGACCGGAAACAGGCTTTCGTAAAACTCCATAATTCCACCGATTTTCCCCTAAAATCAGCGCAGAAAATGCCAAAAAAGTCCATTGATTCCATCTGGGATTGCTCATTACAGTGTGTTATAACTGAAGCCACTATGAACATCTCACATTATGCACATACCTTTCTAGTTAGTTTGTCTGTTTTGGTTGAGGCTGCTGACCTCTTGTGACTGTGAAGAGGTTTGTTGTAGATGGCTCAGTGAAGAGAAGTAATTCCCAATATTGATACAGGATCAGGTTCTCTTACTGAGATCCTGACCTTTATGATTTTAGACACTTCAAGAATGACCTGAGATCAGCAAAATATCCACCAACACCTTGGAAGTCAAAGGCTGGGGATTTGGGCTAAGAGTTTTATGATACAGATGTTCTCAGCAGGAAACCACTTTAACACCCGGGGATTTTTCTGAACCACAGGGCACTGCAAAATTCCTTCAGCCCTCACAGCCTGCCAGAGACATGGAGTATTTGCTGTTATCTGCCTCATATTGAAATTTACTAGAAAACATCTATATTATTTAGACATATAGTAGATGTAATGTTATATGTACGTCACTTAAAGAAATAGTTTATCCAAAAATGAAAATTTGCTGAAAAATTACTCGCCCTCAGGTCATCCAGATTAGAAACTTGCTCATCACTTGCTTATCAATGGATCCTCTGTAGTAAATGGGTGCCGTCAAAATGAGAGTCCAAACAGCTGATAAAAACATCAAAATAATCCACAAGTAATCAACATGACTCCAGTTAATGTCTTCTAAAGTGTAAAGCTGCATGTTTGTAAGAAACAATCCATTATTAAGACTTTTTAACTTAAAACCGTTGCTTCTGGCCAAAGTACCTGTCCATTATCCATAATAACACTTCCTCCAGTGAAAAAGTCCATCCCCTGTTGTTCTCTCACATCAAAATCTACTGACATGTTTGTTTAGAACTGCTTTGGACTTTATCTATGCATATTTACTTCAGATTCAGATGAAACCACTTTTTCACTGACGAAAGCAATATTATGTGTAGAGGATTCGTATTTTAGCCAAAAGCAACAGTTAAAAACATGTTAATGATGGATTTATTACAAACCGCTTTTCACTTAACAAGGCATTATTTGATGGACTGGAGCCCTGTGGATTATCGTGATGTTTTTATCAGCTGTTAGGACTCTCATTCTGACGGCACCCATTCACTTCAGACGATCCGTTGGTGAGCAAGTGATGTCCAATTTCACCAGATCTGTTCCGATGAAGAAACAAACTCTTCTACATTTAGGATGGCCTGAGGGTGAGTAAATTTTGAGCGAATTTTTCCTTTAAACCTTCGTAGTTCAAAGATGAAAACTTTCCCCTTCAGTTTTCTTGTGTATAAATAGTTGTTTTGTATGTGTTTACATCCAGATTTTCGGGTTCCTGGTGATGGGTGTGTACGGTCTGAACACATTTTTGGCAGTACAGAGATGGCGTCTCAGGGACTCGCGAGATGGACCCCTGCAGACCAGCGAGTACATCCGTGCTCGCACAGCCTCACGGGGAGAGGTGGAGTCACGGCCTGAGCTACAGTAAAGCACACAGGCAGACCAATGAAGACTGAGACAAGCAAAGCCCCGTCTGCATTCCTGGCACAGTGTGCTCTTTCATATCCTCGTGATGGGAGCCTGACGAGCGGCAGTCAGGAAGAGCGCTTACAAACAAACAATTGCGTGAACAGTCTAAAATGGAACAAACCTCTGGCATCTTCATCAGTCTCAGGCCAGCATCTTTTGACTTTATACTTAAATACTGTATATTTATGTTAATTAAGGGCTTTACCTTATAATGATCTGGATAATTATTGACTGAAACTCACTCCACTGTGCTCCTAAACTCCCAGCGGGGAAAGGTTTTAATAATGCCTGCAATAAAATGGACAAAACCTGTCAGTCACCGCTTGAAACCCGCTTCTATTTAGCTCTGTATTCTATTTAGAATGCAGCTATGCCTTAAATGTCTTATCAAGGATTAAAAATAACTATACAGAATGGAATAATGGAAATGAATGGTTGCTAAATAGACTGATCTAAGTGATCTTTCTGACTGAAATGTAATGGGAATTTGTAGGAAGGTTTATGAGCAAAAATATTTTTTTTTTTTATTGTTTTATTTTCTCTGCCATTGTGTTCCTGTATCAAACACATCTAGTAAACTGCCGTTGCATTGGGCTGTTTTTCTGTAGAGATGAAGTGACTAGATGATAGGAGCATCAGTATTTATTTTAATGTTAATTATTTTTTGTAATACCACAGCTTTGGTAGCTACATTGTATCAAATGTAGAATTTCACCTCGTGAATGTGTCCCTGCATTGCAACAGACAGTTACAGCTTTCAGATTGTCTGTGTGCGTGAAGGGAGGTGTGAGTTTATGAAACTTTTTAGTCTAATCTTTAGATGATACAAATGTTTAGTTACTAAATCGTGTGTGCATAGTCTGTTGGTCATTTTTGTTGTTTGTAATATTTTCTCTACTCCACTGTGTACTCCAAGTTATCTGTATATGTCGATTTAAGCAAGGGTAGAGTTTTTGAAGAAGGTGTATATACTACGTATCTGTGTGTGACATTTTACATTTCTGAAGGTTTCCTATTTGTATGAATTCTGACACTAATAGACTGTATTTGAAGGAACAAGTGTACTGCAGTACATATGAATGCATTAGCTAAACTATCTTTTTTCTGTGTGCTTTAATCATAGAGGCTTTATTAGTCGAAACCCTTGGACACTAATGTTACGACAACATTAGCAGAATAACTGCTTCATTGGGTGTGAAATTCAAACATTTTATTTGCACTCTCTGATGAAAGTGGTCAAATCATCTGTTTTCTGAAGTGAAGCTTTGTTGACCTTCTAATGGGCCTTTTTGAAAAGAGTATCATAGAATGACATCGGGGGGAAATTAAATGCATCTTTTAACACAGATTTTAAGGCATAGTGCAATTGTTCATGATTTTTTTTTCACTAGAAAATGCTCATTTGCAATATTCGTTTATATATACATGCTTATGTCTTATTTTAAGTTCTTAAATTAAGTAACTTTTATGTTTTGGAATAAGACCAATGTTGAAATGAAGTCATTTTGAGTATAATGTCTCTCATTATAGACATTGATCAACACTGTGTGGGCTTGAAAATGTTAAAAGACAATCACAAGAATGATTTGTGTCTTAATGAAGGACTCTGCATTAAAGTGCTGAAGTCACTGAGTGTCCTATTTTGAAAGCAATACTGTGTTGCTTATGCTTTAATGATGTGTAAGAGCTTTCACTGTGCTTTGACTTTGTGCTAAACTTCTTATTGGAAGATTTTAGCATCAAAATAATTCCTGATTTTGACCTTAAAGCTGCAATCCGTAACTTTTTTTGTTGAAAATTTATATAATAAGCGAATACACCATGAATCCATTTTCCAAACCGTGTTTTTGGCTTTTCCTTGAATCACTACGGTACACCTATAATAAGTGTTTATATTCGGACTATTTAGACTGGTTCGGGTAGGTACCGCTGCGGCGTAGCCCAGTACCTGCGTGATTCGCCATAGACATAAACAGAGAAGTAGCTCCGGCTACAATGTTCTTCCGCAAGACGCACGCAGTTCTGTTTATTAACCGCTAGAGCGCCAAAAGTGACGGACTGCAGCTTTAAGGCTTGAATTGTGTTTTCAACTCGCAAATCATTGAAGTGTTTCAAAAGAAACTAAGTTGACATTTTGAGGGAGTCAAATGATTTGACATTTCCCGTATTCAAGAAAGCAATGTTTTATTCCATGTAACAGTGCTATAAATTTGTATTTTTGTATTTATAGAGTTGTGCATAGACTTACAAAATGCTAATTGTTTAAAAATAGTTGTGATGGCAATCTTTTCCTCAAATAAATGGATTTGGATGGACTTGATCTGTAAATGGGAAAAAGCCTTACTGTGGTACAGGAATCCACTGCATTTACAACCGCTAAGACCTATTTCTCAATACTTGTCACTTTTTCAAAACTTAACGCAGTGAACACAACAGAAGTCTACAGTATGTGGGCTGAACTGTGGATCGTTTTCCAGTGCTTTGGCACAAAATACATTCAATGACTACATATTTCCATTTACATGAACTCCTCTCTCACTCAGAAACAACAGCCACCAATATACTTATGTACCTACAGGCCCATTTGCATGTTTACAGCTCTCTTTTGTGTTACCTTTAAGTTTAAAATCATAATTACCGAATAAGACAGGAATTTTCTACATTTATACCATAATACCATATTGAAATATATTCCAAATCAAAAAAAAAAAAAAATGAAATACTGTCAACACAATTAGTTGTAGCTGAACACATACACAGGTCTTTCGATTTCAATTTTATCTATACAAATGGGTGCAACTAATTGGACAGTGTAATATATATTGCAGTGACTTCTAAACAGTAGAGATCTGAAATGTTACAAAAGAAAAACCTATAATGATACTCGAATGAGTGTACTACATGTTATGTAGTGTTTTGTTCATTTTAGCACATTTTGGATGTGAAATTAACTGCTGTGTCAAGATAAAAGTTGGCAAGGAGAACTGTGACGAGTTTTGAAAAGTGACCTTGAAGAAGTGTGGAGAAATTGTAAAACACTGTAAATTCAAACTCACTGAAATACACCACATATCACTTACAAACTCCATCACATTTTGCTCCTAACGTTCCAAATTACTGGCAAAATTGCTTTCTTTATTTGCTAAAAATAAACAATACTAACAAAATTGCACCAAAATTATTTATTGATGTGGCAATCTGACAGTGCATGTTTCCAAAAGAGTCCTTAAAGCAGATCCACTCTTCATAGAAACACTAGAAGGTGGTTTACATGTGGTTACATGCAGCATGCCTGAGAATACTATAGTAAACCAGGAGATGCTCCTGTATGCACTGCTGAAGCTCACGTTTATATAACAGGTTCAATAGCAGAAGAGTGGCACTGTAAGAATAGTACATCTCTAGGTGAGCATGATAAGACAAATCCTGCTTTTTTTTTTGCAGTACTTTGGCAAGACATTGGTTTTACTTCAGCATTAAAAGACTAACACCAATGTGTAGACCTGTGGAAATAAGACAGGTGACTTTGGCCAGCCAACCACCTGCTAATTTCATACATGATGTAAACTTATTTTATTGCTACAAAGCATTAAACATTAAAACTTATTATTCCCAATACAGGGCTTCATCACCAAATCATGCATAATTTTTTAAAAGAGAATTTAAGAGAACATATTTTGAGAAAATATTCTCTCAGAATAGTTCTAATTAGTAAACATATACACACAGCTCCCAAATATAGACACATTAAAAAAACACTCGTACATATTGCAAAATCTGAACTGAAAGTGACCACACACACAATCATACTAGAAGTAGACCTAAGCTGTAAGAGGCAGTACATAAACATCATAAATGGTACAATACTGCCCTTTCTTCCAAAAGCAGTCATCAAGCTTGACTGATGTGAAGCAATGCTACTGGAATAATTCACAGCTTTGGGAAAATCAAATGAGAGAGGCTTAGATTGCATGGACGCATGTATATACAAAGATTACTGAAAACTCTGTAGCTTCTATTCTGTGATGTGACATTTGAAATAGACTGCTTAATTCTACTGACAAAAAGCATACCCAAAATTTCAAACAAACAATATAAGGTTATACCAAAGTCTGTTTTGGTTGTCAGGCACTGTAGTGGTCACACACCAGGTTTTTGGACACAGCTTTAGTCAGAGTCGGAGTCCGAGTCATCATCTGTGAGGAAGAAGAATGTGTTATTCTGGAAGAAAGAGCCTCTGAATAACGACAGGAAAGAGAAGAATGAGATGGGGAATTCCCAGTGAAAATAATCTGCCATGGAAGTTTAATGCATGTGACTATGCATGACAGTTGCTAGAACAGTTTGCTTATAGTGAGAGTTAATTCCTACATTTAAATGATACCAAAGACTATAAAATGGACTTTGATGATACTCCAGGAGTTCTGCCTGGTCACTCACAGTAACTAGAATAAAACCTATACTGTGGATAACTATTTATGAAGTTATGAAACCACACTTCCTGAAAACCACGTCACCTTTCACTTCCTGTGTCTAGTCTCACTAATAGTTTTGCTGCTTTAGTTTGATGTGGAAAGATTCATGCATGTATCCTGTGAATGAAACTCCAGCAGAGAGAGAGAAAAAAAAAATAGTACTTTCACATCTCAGTGGTTGCATTACTGTTCAGAAGTTTGGAATTGTAAAATATAACAATTTAAAATAACTGTTTTATATTTTAATATATTTTAAAAGATGTATTCCTGTGATGGCAAAGACTGGTCATTCCTCCAGTCTTAAGTGTCACATGATCCTTCAGAAATCATCACTAATATGCTGATTTGACACTGAAGAAGCTTTTTGTTTTATTACCAATTTTGAAAACAGATGTGATGCTTAATATTTGTGTGGAAACTGCAATATAACTTTTTTCAGGATTCTTCGATGAATAGAAAGTTCAAAAGAACAGCATTTACTTGAAACAGAAATCTTTTTGTAAAAATATAAATGTCTTTACGCACATTTACTGTCAATTGAATTCATACTTGCTGAATAAAAGTATTAATTTCTTTAAAAAAAAGGAAATTAATTAATTCTAACTGACCTCAAACTTTTGAATGGTAGTGTAAATAAGAACCCAGTATTGATACCTTGTGTGTTTGGTGGCTCTTCACTGGAATCACCTCCCTTGAGGAAGTTGGCCAGTTCATTAAAAATGAAATAAAAGTCCAGGGCAAAGAATATTGTGGTAATGAAGCCAAAGACCTAAGAAGTGAAAGAGAAAGAAAAACAGAGACACATGAAACCAGTGCAAACATCACACAAGTCACATGTTGTAGAACTATAAATCAAAAAGTAAACAGTGCTGTCAATGATAGTGCCAATAAAAGAGAATTTGACTGAACTGATGTGAGCCTACCCCAGCGGCCTTTGAGGCTCCATCCACATATTTTGACACAGATATTATAGAGATGATGAAAAAGATGATGGAAGCGCTGACACAGCGCAGGAAATCCTTGATGAAACAACAGGCATGGTGATTAGGACAAAAGGACAGAACTGTTATTCATGGACAAATGTTATTATCTGATGCTCTATGAAGTTCCAGCACAGTAATTTTGTAGGTCAGAAAACTTACCATGAGGGGCCAGTGAAAGCCCTTAAATCTCTCATTGAACTTTGTAGAATAAGCAAACAGCAAGAAGAGGGCAGCCAATAACTCTATTAAGGGAGCTGTGACGAAGGCAGCTGCTGTTGAAGCAGCAAAGCATACAAAACTGATGAACGACATCACCTGAGGGGACAGGATACATAAGGACACATTGATTATTGTTCTTCATTATTTTGTTAATTGCTGAAAATTAGTAACAAGGTGAGTGCACCAGACCTTTTAAAGATATATTTGCATTTCATGCCAACTTTAAGTTTGATGCTTTGACTTTTTTGGAAACTTGCATTGACAGAGAAGAAACAACTGGCCATTTATTTGTCTAAACTGTAATTATATATATATTGGAAGTCAAAGGCTGGGGATTTGGGATATATATATATATATATGAAGAGTTCAGATGCAAAAGCCTCTAAGTGCTGTCTGAAATTTTATTCTAAACTTAGCATTTTTAACAGGCTCCTATGTTTAGGCTCAGTAATTTTACTTTAATGGCACTATATAGGTCATTTTCTATGCCATTAAAGTGAAAGAACTGAACATAAATATAGGAGCCTGATAAAAATGGTCATTTTAGATGAAAATTTCAGACAGCACTTAGAGGCTTTTGCATCTTTTTCATATATACAGGTGCATCTCAATAAATTAGAATGTCGTGGAAAAGTTCATTTATTTCAGTAATTCAACTCAAATTGCGAAACTCATGTATTAAATAAATTCAATGCACACAGACTGAAGTAGTTTAAGTCTTTGGTTCTTTTAATTGTGATTCTTGTGAATGCCATAGTATCGATGATAACATCAACTGGTAAGTTAATAATGTCATTTAGCCGAAGTTAACTAACTTAGTTGAACAAAGAGAAGCATAGTAAGTTATCTTCTCTACTCTGCCTCTTTATCGCAAGTAAAGTAATTATCTTCAAATGCTATTTAAGTCAGAAAGTGTGTACCAATGTCGTACGTAACTTTAGAGACGGTCCCTAAATTCAGTGACAGACGTAACGTTCACATAAAACAGTGAGCTAACAACCTACTGAGGAAAACTGAGTGAAGAAACACCAGTTAAGAAAATCTTTTGTATTTTATTTTGTTTGTGGCCATGTCGTCTGCATCGGAGGTGTATTGGAGTCTTGTGATTGCCGTCGTAGCGGTGCTAACAACAGGTGAGCTTCCATCAGCTTAACTAACATTAATGTTACTAAATTAGCCAAATTAGCCTCTAGCTGCTGTTGTCCACTAACTCACAGAACAGGTTGACTTTTTAAAGAGAGGCACATGCTAGCAATATATTAATATAGCATGTTTTGCTGATAAATCAATGTTAAAAATGTTTATTTTATTAAAATGTAAATTCTGTTACTGTACGACATTTTTTCTGATCATAAACTACAGTAACACAAAAAGGATGATGTGACTGTCTGTTACAGGAGATTTCTCCAAGCAAAAACAGGATCCTGACTATGAGAGGCAGAATCATCATACAGCCAGCTGTCCATTTTACAGAAATGCAGAATTAGGTAACCCAAAATAAATTTTGTTTTACATTGCATTTATATTTACGCATTTGCCAGATGCTTTTATCCAAAGCAAGTTACATTGTATTTAATGAAATATTTTTACTATTTAAAATAACTGTTTTGTATTTGAATATATTTTAAAATGTAATTTATTCCTGTGATCAAACTGAATTTTAGGATCATTACTCCAGTCACATGATCCTTCAGAAATCATTCTAATATTCTGATTTGCTGCTCAGAAAACTATTATTATTATTATTATTTTTATTATGTTGAAAACAACTGAGTATAATTTTTTTCAGGTTTCTTTGATAAATAGAAAGTTCAGAAGAACAGCATTTATCTGAAATATACATCTTTTGTAACATTATAAATGTCTTTATCATCACTTTTGATCAATTGCACAATCAGCTTGTAACACTCCAAAGAGAAAGGAAAACTTGAAATCGCATCATATGACCCCTTTAAGTAAAAATCATGGTTTACAGTGCAGTACCACAATTGGATTGTTTTTTACAGGTAAAAAATGTTTAAACTAAATGAAAATAAACTCTACAGTACTGATACTGTAAATGAAAATACGGTAATAATACTGTAAATAAAATACAGTAAGGACATATTGCACTGTAAATGCAATTACAGTACTGAAACTAAATGAAAATACTTAAGTCACTTTGGATAAAAGCATCTGCTAAATGCATAAATTATTATTAATTATATATATATATATATATATAGATAGATAGATAGATAGAAGAGTCCCTAAACCATATAAACCATGTATGTGTGTGTGTGTGAAAAATATAAGAGGAGCAAAGCCACTACTAGCCTTGATAAAAACTCCCCCTTCAGATGAATGAGGAAAGTTTGACCTATATAGCAGCAGAAAACAGCTAATTTACCCATTTATTTAACAAAGCAGAAACTTTTCATAACAAAAATGTCATATAAGAATAACCAGTGAAAACCAGATCGATAAGAATAAGAAACTAAAATCAGAAGAATAATGCCATGATTTATGTTGCATTTCTGTATAAAGTAGCTGCATCCAGATGCCAAAAAAAAAAACATTTAACGGATATAACATAACTCAAAACAATGACTTAAACACTATTATGGATGGATTCAACATGGTAAAAGTCGAAAAGCATACCACTTCACCGAGCAGCAGTAGTCCTTTCCGGGAGGTGATGAATTCTTTACTCGCGAGAAGAGAATGGAATATGGTCTGTCGTGATCGGTTATTCTCCTGAGCCTCGATGTCCCCCATGATCACGCCGATGAAACTCTTCTGTTCCCGAATAAAGTTCACTGAGATGCTCCTACTCTCCGCTGTGAAACAGCTACTATTCGCAAATCGGCATAACTTTCCACGGAGTGGAAACGGAAATAATGACAGTGCGGAAACGAAGCACACAAAAGAGCAACATCTGCATTCCCGAAATCTAGAGACCGTTAATAAGTGACAGAGAATGTGGGCGATACATCTCTCACAGGATAGAGTGGCAGCTGTAAATATATTCGTGCAACAACTGCACATAACTTCCATCTGCACGACTCGACAGATTTTAGTCCGCTCTGTTTTGAAGCCCCTTTTATCGTTCAAAATCACAGAATTAAGGTTTTTGATACTTCGTAACTTTGATGTTCATAATAACAGATAATAAAGTTTTCAGGATGTTTTTTAAACTCTACTATGAAAAAAAATATTTGAGGTCAGGGATAAGTCATGAATGCCATAACTTGTATGCACTCAATGTAATTTTGGGGGGAATATTTTTTAATCATATAGCCTATTGTACATGGTTTGAATTGTTCAATCTGGGGTCAAATCAACCCAAAATTAGCATAATAAATCTGGATAACAACAATCTTTCAGACAAAGTGCTATTTTACTTAACAAAATCAGTCAATGTTGAGAGAATTATCAGTTTATGGAGGAATTTATTTTGAGTGGTTACGATTTGTGGATAGGTTTCATACTTTTGCACACTTACATGTATCCAAATGAGCAATAGCATATCTGCATTTCCGAAGATCTGGAGAAATCTGCATAACTGAACAGAGAATGTGGGTGATAGCCTACATCTCTCACAGGACAGAGTGGCAACTCATTTCATTAAAAAAACAAATACATTATAATAAGTATTTTACAATCTCATTTTGGTTATTAAAAAATAGGTCTGTTTGCAAAATGAGAGATCTGGTCCTGCAGAGCTTTAGGTTTTCCCTGTTTGGGCCTCTGTGGTGGTTCTTGGTTTGTTGAATGTGAATTTTTTGAAAAGGACATAGCCATCCAAGGACCACAAGGCTGCAGCCACAAAGCCCACAATCTGTCAACCAAAAGACTCCATAGTGAGAAACGTTGTGTCATAATGTTTGGGTCATTCACAATGAGTATTCACAAGGAATGGAATAGGTTTAAAAAAGTATGAAAGATTTAAGGCCTGCATAGTGCTTAAAAAGATAAAGAGAGACAGAGTTCCAGGAATGGAGGATGTATTCTCACCCCTCCGCTCAGTGTGCCCTTCACTGTGTATGTGGAAACTGCTACCAGGCTAAGAATACACATCAGTGCAGCTGCAAAGAATGAGTTGAACACATCCTGTGAGAGCAAAAGGGCATTACCAACAGTTGTGTTTGCAAAGCTGCAGTTGCAAGTATTGGTGGTGTTATACAAAGTTCTCTGAGCAATAGTGCATTAATTCAGTCAAGCACATTAGATTTATGGTCTTACAATAAGGGGCCAGAAGAAGAAAGTTAACATCTTGTTGAGTTTCAGTAGGTAGAGTAAAAAAAAACTCCATGCATGTTGCTGTCACTGCATAACACACAAAAGCCACAAAAACACACACCTGAAAAAAATAAAATAAATAAATAACGTTTTTTTAAGGAATTTTAGTAAGATGACCAGATGTTACTTGACTGAAATGTGTGATGTGATTTTAGTTAACAGGCCTACATTGTTTCCCTTTTTAACAATGTTGTATTCCAAATATCAAGCCCATGCCAGCACTATTTAAATAAATGATTGCCAGTGATTGAGCATTTTTTCCTTCCCAAAAAGTATCAAAAATAACAATACTATCATGTTTAATTTGTATAAAAGTCTCACCATTTCTGATATTTTCAGTAGGCCTTTTGTAGACTTCAACAAGGCAACTTCCATTGTGGCATTAATATGATCTTTGTATAAAATGAAATACAATATGATGTTTTATATCGATGAGTTGTTCTCATAACACAGCTTGTGGATCTCGACACATTACTTCCTGAGTGAGTGTTTCCTTTTAGTCTCAGGAAATCACTAAATGCACTTTTTTTGTTGGCAGTTGAACTCAACAGTTTTAGGCAGTGCAATCTGATTCTCTGTTCATGGAAGCCTATACAGAACTCAAATCTGAGGATAATATTTCTGCATTGCATTGATCATTTTGTAAAGTGACTGCAAATTATAAAGTGATGAACAATAAAATATTCTCTTTAGCATAACTATGTATATTACAGGTATCTGAAGAGCATTGTGATTCTGACTGGTCATGGCCAATTAGATCTATATACTTCGTGAAAAGTCATGTCAATCAAAATAAAAGTCATTGTATTGTTTAACTCTTTCATTAATGACAAATTATTTTACAGATGACGTAATCTATTCTGTTGTGCCAAACAAACAATATGAAGCAACAGCACTTCTTGGGCTTATCGCGCCATTTCATTAATTTGGTCTTTCAAATTAGTTTTGTAATTTAGAGGTCTGAGATAGCATCATGTTTCGATGAGGAACAAGATACAAACAACAAACAGGTTTCCTGAAAAGGTTAACTATTACTGCCTGTAGATAGTTGTAGGCATGTGACTCCATTGTAAAAAATAAATAAATGTGACTCCCTTGTCGTTGCGATATTTACTTTAAAAACGATATACATTTTTAGCTGCAATATTTAATAATAATATTTCCCTATACATCTCTGCGTAATAATAATAACAATGCAGTCTTATTTGGAAATAATAACATCATTGTCAGTGTTGGGGAAAGTGACTTTTTTATTTTTATTCATTTTGAGGAATACTGAATCTGTGTTTTTTTTGTGAGTGAGATTAATTAATTCATATTCATATTTATTTTAGAACTACAGTAACATCTTCTGATTTCTCTCAACATGGGGACAGGAGAGCTGTCAATCAATAAATTGGAAAAAAAAGTAACTTGCGTTACTTATTTGAAAAAGTAACTCAGATATTCTCTTGTAAATTAAAAAGTAATGCGTTACTTTACTAGTTACTTGAAAAAAGTAATCTGATCACGTAACTCACGTTACTTGTAATGCGTTACCCCCAACACTGATCATTGTACATCTTACGAATATTTTAATGACGAGTTAAAAATTGTGGCTTTTATTTTGACATGTTTTGGTCGGCCATTAGTGTTGCACGTAACACTGCAAGGTTTGCGCGGCGTGATGAGTTTATCACTTGTATATTTGTATATGTAGCTACTAGATGTCGATGAAACACGCGAGATGGTTGTTAACTTCTTAAAAGAGTTTTGTCGTGTTGTCTTACCTCTTGTCCGACGAACGCCTTCACTGGGAAAGCATTTGATCGGACTTTCGCGGAGCAGCACATCTGTGAATCACAGTAAGTCATGCGCCAGCTTCCGTTCTACGCAATATAACGGCGACCACAGCTCTCATTCTTACTCATTTTATTTACGATGTTTCTCGTTCATGTCGTATTTTCTTCAACTTTTCCCTAACCGAGTTATATTATGCTCAATCCGCTTTACATTAACAGTACTGACATGAGTTTAAGCTTGTTGCCTTGTACACCCCCTGATTTGTTGCCATAGAGATCTGCTGCTGAATCTGAGAAAGGTTTCATTATGTTGTATTCTCCTCAAGGGAAACTGGTTAGAAACGGCGAGGAGAAGAAATCAGTGGTGAGTTATACACTGCAGCATGTTTTTGGATGAATAGATCCTCTGATCTGAAAGAGAGTCTATTACACGGCTGAGAAGACCGTGAACATAATATTGTTAAATATGTGTATGGGTTGTTGTTGTTTTGAAATTTGCATCCACTTTTGTTCAGATCTGGATAGAGGGAAATATTGCAAGTGGAAAGACAACATGTCTGGAATACTTCAGCAAAACCAGTGACATTGAGGTAGTAATACAGTAAATGTGTAATGAATAATATTTCTCACGGTACCTGAAATTTCACTCCTACAATTCTTATTCATTTATTTAATAGACAACTGTCTTGTGTTGTAGGTGCTAACAGAGCCTGTGTCTAAATGGAGAAATGTACAAGGATGCAATCCATTGGTAGGGACCAAGTAGCACATAATTATGGATATAATGAGCTTTTTCTTTCTGATCCATCTTGTTGTTCATTTTATTTCATATTTGATTATATAAATGTATTTTATTCTGCCACAGGGATTGATGTACCAGGACCCATCTAGATGGGGACTCACTCTTCAGACATATGTCCAACTGACAATGCTGGATCGGCATGTCTTACCAATGGCATGTACAAGTCCTACGGAGCCCCTAAAGGGATATGGTGGTGGAAAAAAATCAGAGTGAGTGAATAAATGTGGGGTGGGAGGAAAAAATATTTTTCAGATTTTTTGTGATCACTCGCAGAATTTTGCGTTCCCTCACAAAACTTTTGCATTCTCTGGCAAAACCAGTTGAGTTCTGACAAACACTTCCTGTTTACTTTACAGATTGTAGTGATTTATACAGCTCCATATGTTCACATAAAATCGCCAGTAGGTGGCGGCAAGTCACTGTCTAATGAGCAAGGCGAAGCATTCATTCATTCATTCATTCATTCATTCATTCAGTAATGAAGCAAATGGTTGTAGTTATGAAAGGGTTATTAATCAGTACTGACTCTCCGAATCATTCAAAGTTGCTTGGAGACACACACCAGTTCTGTTGCAGATTTCGTTGGAACTATTATTTCGTTGTAAAATATAACAAACATTATTGACACTATTGCGTTTAAAATGTAGGCTACATTTAAAATGTAAAATGTACACTTAATATTGCCTTTTTTGTTGAACTGTTATATAAAATCAATGTCACATTTGCAGTCTTTTGGATATTCAGGAAAAATTGCATTATAGGTTCCAGAGCGAAATATATTTTATAAAGCGAACACTGTTGCGTTCTTACTGTATCTAATAATCTTTTATATTATTGAATCTTCAAACTGCTAACACTTTGCAGTTTCGAATTATGCCTTACTGTAAGTAACGGAGTAGCTATTTTATGTTTCAGCGATTTGATCGTGCCAGGTGTCCTGACATTTTATCCTACCCATCAGATTGTCCTACCAGGGTTTACTGTGCATGCGCACATCAATATTGCATCCTTTTTCTCATGCTGAACAACAATATTTAATGTAGGCCTATCTGCATTACTGTAAGGGTAGGTGTAGACTTTAATAAAACACAATCTAATAGGTAGAAAAATTATTTATTGTTGGTTTCCTGTAGCTGTATCCATTCCAGCTAGAACCGCGAATATAACACATAATTACTGTATTTGCATTACTGTAAGGGTAGGTTTAGGGTTGTGGTAGGTGTAGACGTTAATAAACCATAGTTTTACAGGTAGCATTTTTCGTTGTCGAATTGTACTACCCACTGTTTTAATGGGTGGTAGCAAAATCTGACAGGGTAGCACAAATCGACAGAACACCGGCGTCTCATGCGCACATATTCATTGCATTCAGCGCGGCCTGTTCATTATTAAAATAAAACATAGAATCACAAATACTGATAAAATGTTACACAGTCAATTTAAATAATCTGTATTATAGTCCACTCCAGTGCGGCACATTTTTGTTCATTAGGATGTTTTTCCTGTCGATATTAGAACGTACAAAGCCCAGTTAATTTAATAAATAATGGTTTAGCTTCAAATACATTGCGAATATGGAAACATTTGGATTTGTGCTGAATGAGAGCGGTACATGAGCCCATACTTTTAGTTTAGCTTTAAATTAGGTTTTGGCTTGTTTATAGCTATTCTGGGCTTGTCTGCTTTCCTGTGCATAATAGGCTATATTTTATTAATAAACTGTGTACCATATTTTGGTTTTATACCGTCTTCGTCCATTAGCCTCCCTTAAGCGTTTTCTATAGCCTAACCGTTTTCTATGGGGGAGAAACATTGCATTATGGCTATCAGCTTTACTGATAGTAATGCTATTAATAAGGTTATTAATATTACAATTGTTATTAGTATTAATAGTATTTATTAGGCATAATACCGAATTGGGCCTCCATGCCACTGTTATAGTACATTAAGCCACATTAAGTGTTTTAGGATGTCCCAAAACCGTGCCTTAAACTACAAGCAAAGCTGACTGTATTTGAACTTGAGTCCAAGTTTAAATAAAACTCTATGAACCACTCCATTGTGAACGTAATGAGCTGTATGAACCACTAACAAGCTGTTAGTAAAGTTAACAGGAAGTGTTTGTCCAAACTCAACTGGTTTTGCGAGGGAACGCAAATATCTTTGTGAGAGAATGCAAAAGTTTTGCGAGGGAACGCAAAAAAAATTCCTCCCACCCCAAATTTTTTCCACCCACCCCGAATTTTTTTTCCACCACCATGTCCATTTAGGAGCTCCGTACAAGTCTTTCACGTCCCTATAGTCAGTTTTATCGAATTGTTTTACATGTATCTGTTTCTGTTCTGCAATACAGAAATTAGCCTCAGCCTTCTGTGTGAACAGAGGAAATGGAATGCGAATCATGACTGCAATAACCTGTTGTTTTTCTTTCTGTCACCACAGTCAACACCAGTCAGAATGATGGAAAGATCTATTTACAGTGCAAAGTACATTTTTGCGGAAAATCTTTATAAAAGGTACATTTTCTTATAAAGCTGAAAGAGCTTTACCTGCCTACTATTGGACAAAAATGGGTAACACTTTATTTTGGTGTCCTTCTTACACGTTAGATGTAATTACTATAGCAATAACAGTAAATTATGCATAATTACATGCAACTAACCCTAAACCAAACCCTAACCCTACAGGTTGTTAATTAATATTGCTTAGTATTGTTTTATTACACTATATCAAAGACACCATAAAATAAAGTGTAACCACAAAGTGTACTGATCATTAAATGTGTACTAATATTAAATGAGTATTATTTTATTTGGTTGACAGTGGAAAGATGCCCGAGGTGGACTTTGCTGTTTTAAGTGAATGGTTTGAGTGGATCATAAAGAATATTGCTATTCCTGTGGACCTTATTGGTATGGCATTGCAATATTGCATGTTGCTTGTTAGATGTAATAATGGCAAATAAATGTTGTTGTGTATTTATGCATGTTCTCATTGGGTTTTATACAGTTTACCTGCAGACCTCTCCACAGACCTGTTACGAGAGATTAAAGCAGAGGTGCAGAGAGGAAGAGAAGGTTATTCCACTGGTGAGCTGTTAAGTGAACCGCTGTGCATGCAAAACTGAACTGAAATGCAACAAATCTGAAACAACCCAAAATAGATTCAGTAACTCTGCTGTCAATGGTGGAAGAGTTTTAGCTTAGAGATGACTTCACTTTTCATGTTATCAGAAGGCTAGATTAAAAAACATTACTAATTGTTGTCCTATATTTTGAAAGAGGTTACACTTTATCTGATGTTTACCCTTTAGGAATACCTAGAATCAATCCATAACCTCTATGAGGACTGGCTCATTCATCACAAGTCGTTTGAGGTTCCTGCTCCAGTTCTGGTGAGTTTCTGCCAATAGTCATCGGTTAAAAAGCCTGCATGATATCTATTGTGACATATTGTATAATCACCCATGCACTATCTGGGAGTAATTTATGCTTTCACTTTGGTGGGCAGGTAATCCCAGCAGATCATGATCTTAAGAAGATGCTGCATCAGTATGAGGAGAACAGAGAGAAGATACTTATGGCACATTGCTGAGCAAATGATCAGAGACAACGATGACCATATCAAGCCATAAATATGTCAGCTCAAAAGATGAAGCAAGCACTTTTTTTAAATTCAAAACTGGGTTTACAAACATTCCTCCTGCAGTGGACAGTTGATTTACATAGTAGGATTTGTAAATTAGTGCATATGATAAGTATTTTATTTAAATGCTGACTTTTGATGATGATTATTATTTTGTGTTTGCATTTGCAGTCTTTGTAAACTTGTTTAAGCACTTAACAAGAGACATAGTCTTTTTATTTTTATTTTTAGTGTTGTTTATGGAATCATTCCATATTATCTAAAACTACTGCACTTGGAAACATTTCCATTTTTTTCTTTGTCTGTAGAAATTTTAAATTCAGAATGTCAATTCCAGACCATGCAAATATACTGTATGTGATTTAGCCTTGCATTTTACAGTGAAGTCATCATTCTAGGGTCTTAAAGATTCTTTTATTTTCATGAGTTGTGCATCCTCCCACTTGCAGACAGTGACTCTATCAAATACAGGTACTGTGGTCAGTTTATGTTACTGAAGGTGTTACTGTGACCAATGTAATTTATACTGCATAAGGCATTGTTTTAAATAAAATGAAAAAAAAAAAAATTTGAAAAAAGTGATTTTATTACATTGTAATTTACATTCACATAATTCTATGACGTGCTGCACTGTAGCCTCAGTAGTATGGCACGAAAAGTACTACAATTGTTTGCACCTTATTTCTTTAAATAACAGGTAGTATAATATAGATGCCCCAGGGGCCTCATTTATAAAATGTTGGGTAGAAACCTACATTTGATCTAAGATTATTTCTCAAATGTGCGTATGTGTGATTCACAGAAATGAACGTACACGCAAAAAGCATGCGCACACCTCTTACAGATGTGAATCTATACCTTCCTTCACTTCAAAAAGCTATGATAGAAGGTAAAAAGACAAAGAGCACAGACATTCTTCCTGTCACCTTCATACACTCTTAAGATTAAAGCTAATCCAAATCAGGGCTTCATTAACAAGAAACTCTCTTATCAATGAAAATGCTTTGCACATCATGACTAGCACAAAGACATTTTTGGTGCACTGCCACGCTCTAGAACACTTTCAAATCTCTGCCATGGATAAGGAAGAAACAGGAATACTCTGTCTCTAAATCACTACGTATGTTTGGACTAGGTCGTCTTCTGGTGGCTGAGGTGTGGGACTCTTGCGTCCGTTTAAGCCCTCATTGGCAGGCTGACTGTGGTCAGTCAGTGGTCCAAACACTGGTGTACACACGCTCAGTGCACTATGGATGTAGATTGACTGAGGAGGCTCTCTAATAAGGTTGTCCTGTGCAAGAACGCCATTGGACCCAGCACAGCTCCCACAACCTGTGATGTTGCAGACAGGCTCCTGGGATGGGCTGCACAGGATGGGCAGGCTCATGCCATCTGGGGATTTTGTGGGTGGAGCTGTGATGACGTCACTGGGTCCACTGCATGGCTGGGCCTGTGCGGTCTCCTCTATGGGGTATTTAAGTGGTTCATCTGCACTGAGTTCCTTCATGTGCATTTTCCCCATTTGCTCAGTGAGCTCAGCCAGGCAGTCTTCTGTCGAGCCTTCACGGCTGCGTCCTTGCAGCAGCTTCCCAACTTGAAGAACCAATGGTTTGTCATCTGAGGGCTGGGCTTCTACAAGTGGATTTGCGATGTGTAGTTTTCTTTGGCCTGGCATGGTCTCAGTGTGTATGGCTATAGACTGGGGGCCACTCATGTCAGCACTGGCCTCGTGGAACAGGCCCGCATTGTGGCCCCTGGATCCAGCCCACTCCTGGGCCTTGAGAGGCTGCATAGATCTTTGAGACTTTCGGAAAATGGGCTTTTGTCGGATGGCCAGGTCTGGGTAGTTCTCCCGCATCTCTAAGATAGACTTGTCGTCAGTCATAAATGAGCTGGACGGTCTTTCGACATCAAAGATAGAAGCATCTTGAGACTTGTCGACTTCCTGATCAAGAGGGTTATGACTTTTAAGTGACTCCTGCCGCTCCTCTTCCTCTGGGTTTACCAGAGAGCCACCTTCAACGTGCCCATCATCCTTAAAAACATCCTCGTTTAGATTACAGGTGTCATTGATAGGTTCGGAAACTACTTCTCCAGCACTGAAGGTCAGAGGAGCAGCTCTCATTCGGATGATCTCCAGACAATCCACATGTGATCTCTGGTTCATGAGCTCCAGAACATACTCACACTCTAACCTGGCAAGGAAAAGGTCAAATCCCATACTCTTGGCCTTGTCAGGATCAGAACCGTCTGACAGTCTATAATCAGTGTCTGTTTCCATGCAGTATCCAATAATCTGAAGAATACTTCTGGCAAAAGGCAATACTGGCTTGATGTAATAGACAAAGTGTCCTGTAAATGTCTGAGAGAACAGGAGGAAAAACAGTCCTGATTAATTGTATATTGTATTAAACTGTATAGTATTTTAGAATGTGTCCGGTTTCTTTTTTCACTTCTAAAATAATTAAACCTTGTGCCCTAATGTGGTACTATATTGCAACCAGTTATTACAGCCTTCACACTCTGCTGAGCTTAACAATGTTTACATCACTCAAAGAATCTTATCAAAGTTATATATATATATATATATATATATTTTTTTTTTTTTATTTTTTTTTCTCCATACTTCCGTGTTAAATATGGTTTTGTGGGTAAAAGTGCTTGCGGTCTCAGACCTCAAACAGAACTTAGGAATTAAAGGAAGTCAGCAAGAGCAGCCTTGCTAAATGAAATCTTAAAGCAGCCTAAAATGGTATGCTTTGTTTAACTGATCTTAGTTTGCCTTTCAGCCTGGCTAAGATGTCTTTAGATGAACTAGCTGATGTCAAATCTGGTCTAAACAATTGATAATTAGCCTACTCAAAATCCTTCTAAAACCAGAAAACAGATCAGACTAAACAGCTTACACTGTTTTTAGCATAAGCAGCTCATCAAAAATCGTTATGTATTAACTTAATACTGTATTAAAAATTATTTTGTGGTCATTAAAAAGTGCTCAGGGTCTCTTAAACCTCACACAGAACATGAGAATTAAAGGAAATCAGTGACATCACCACTGCTTATAACAATAATAATAATAATAATAATAATAATAATGAATTAGGCCAGCCTAAACTAGTTTGCTGGTTTTATGTGGCCTTCCAGTGTCTTTTTGATGGTCTAGCTGATCTCACAGCTGGTCTGACCAAATGAAAAGTTCCCCAAACCCTTCTAAAACCATAAAACAGACCGGTCTGACCAGGACAGGAGACCAGATAAGTACAGCAAACCATCTGAGGACGGTTTAACTTCCAATTAATTATCAGCTGGGAGAGCAGAGGCCAGACCTATTAATAGCGGCTTTATTTACCTTTAAGGTTTTAATCTCTTTCTTCCACGGAAACAAAAACAGGTTGACACAGAACATCTCCAGTAACTCGGCAGCTTGTTTAAAGTCGTGGACTCGTCTCTGGCAGTCTCTGTACTGTGCGCACTGATAGAGAGTCTCATAGAAGTCCAGCGCGCCGAGTCTCTTCCGCGGCTCTTTCTCCGCTAACAGCACGCGCCTGGCTTCATCTGTCACCTGTGTCTCTGAGCACACTGTCAGATTGCCTTCGCAACTAACTTTGTCGTAGTACTCTAAATACTTAACGAAAACGTCTTTTCGCGAAACAGGCGTCTGATCGTCGACGCTGTTGGTCATGGTTGTGACAGAAAGTGATCAAGTTGATCAACTCCCATATGAGGAAGCGAAAGTAGACAGTATGCAAATGAGGAGTGATGATGATGATGATGATGCATATGCAGGTATCGCAAACGACGCAAATACGGAAGAACCTCAAATATACACGTGTTCTTATTGTAGTTTAATAACTGACCGGGATTATGTTAATAAAAGGCTTACATTTCCATAAATGTCCATGACCAATAAGCGAAACGGTCCTGTAGGCATCAGCGACGTAATATCGATCTCATTATCATTCATCTCAGCCTCAAGAGGCACCTGAAATACCTATATATTGTACATTTATAAGTACACTTTAATTATACCAGTGACATTTGTCCATAATTTGTCCGAGAACGGTTGCTGGTATAGGTACCTACATGTCACCATTGTTATTCTTCCTCTTCCTATACTGACATCTAGCCCTGAAAATAAGTATTATCATGACTGTCCAGAAGATGGCGATGTAATCACAAAAATGATGCTTACGCACGTCAAACACGTTTTTGAGCGATGTCAGAAAGGGAAAAATACCTGATCTATGAATTGCGGATCCCTGGGGGAAATTCAGCTTCTAAACTAGAAAATGTTGTGGAATATTTGAAGTATTCTTGTGTAAATACGTGGCATATGAAATGGTAAATATTCGGTTCAATAATATCAAAATACCTTAGTATTACCATCTGATAACGGCTCTTACCCTGTATATTTATTTATTTTATTTTATTATTTATTTTTTACAAGATCAGCGTGTAATAAAGGAGATGAGTTATGGGATTCAATAAGCTAGAGATTCTGCTGTCTCCATGATCTCTTACAGAAATAGGAGAGACTGACTGACAAGGCAAATGCTGTTTACAAGCGGTTCTTCTAAACATTCTATAACTTCTATTCATCAAAGAATCCTAAAAAGTCATGGTTTCAACAAAAATATTAAACAGTACATGTTTTCAGCACTGATAATTATAAGAAATGTTTCTTGAGCACCAAATCAGCATATTAGAATGATTTCTGAAGGATCATGTGACTAAAGACTGGAGCAATAGCTGCTGAAAATTCAGCCTTGTCATCATAGGAATAAATTACAACAATTTAAAATATATTAAAATACAAAACAGTTCTTTTAAATTGTAATAACATTTCACAATATTACAGTTTTTTTACTGTATTTTTGATCAAATAAATGCAGCCTTGGCAATTTTAAAAGACTTCTTTCAAAATAATTTTTGAAACCAGTACACATGTATAACCTAATGTATCAAAATGTATCCTGAATAGGCTACAGCAATCTTCATATTACAGGACCATAAAATGCACAAAATGTAATAAGCACTTATGTCACCAAATAAAGAGTAGCTGGGTCTAGAGAATAACAGGATCTAGAGAATGAATTTTCAGAATCTCACTTATTTGACCTTATCTGACCTGAAAATAGTCAGATGGTAAAATTCACATTAATTCCAAGTGTCTCATTCATGTTTAAACTAACCTTAAATGGTTTCAAATGGTTGGACTTGTATTTCTGTACTGTAGTTAGTGTGATAGAGGTGTGTGTATCACCATGCGTGTCAGCTCTGGATGAAATGAGCATTCCTCTGGTATAGTTTAATAGAAGTGGAGCTCTGGGATAAGAGGCTAATTAAGGGCAGAGCTATGGCACAGGCCATCTGTTCAGGATGCTTTCTTTGAGCCCACCATGCAAACAGGCAGGAGAGAGATGAATATCCATATCAGTGTTAGCGAGAGGCTTGTAATACATTATGAATGACAGGAGTCAATGAGCGAAATGGTTCAGGAAATATTCTGTCCATCTGGAAGCCTTTAGTGTACAATCAACATCTGTTACTAAACAGCACAACAATCTCTGAAACTTGCCAGCAGTAACTGTGCACAACAAAATCCTACATTGATGTTTTACTGAATTCGCTATCAGTCTGTTTTTCGAAACGTATTATTTCAAAATTCTCCCAGAAAGGATTAAAAGATGGACATCTTGATAGATAGAAGTCTTGTGTTTTTCTATTTATTCAGAGGATACAGTGGTAAAGGAATAAAGACTCTAATACAAAACATACATCAATATCTGCAGCTCTATGAAACAGCATGATCACTTTGGACAACCGACCACAACATAGTGACAGAGATTTCAGACACATTTGCGATGTATTAATTAAATGTCAGTCAACATTTGCAATGGGCTTCGATGCTAAGGTGCTATCCTGGTGCAAGAAACATATCCATGTGGTCCAATGAAACTGCTGAAATAGTTTAGCACACAAATGTAAGCCAGTTAAAAGTGATTTTCCTGAACATCAGCTCACTAGTTGCAGCTAAAATGCACAAAGCCCTAAAATTGACAGAAAATAAATACTATGTGACCAATGGGAAATAGATCTTCATTGAGTATTTGGCAATATTCCTTTAAATCTGTACTGTATGTGTTTATCTGATCTTTATGCACACCGAGTTGCTACAGCCTTGCTAACACGTGTGAATTACAGGAATAGTTTATCCCAAAATGAAAAAACTACTGAAAATATTCTCAAATACACCTACATATTGGATGGCCTGAGGGTGTTACTTTCTCAGAACAGATTTGAAGGAATTCAGCATTCAGACAAATTCAGCATCAACACGACTCCAGCTGATCAACCTTGTGAAGCAAAAAGCTGCATGTTTGTAATAAACAAATCCATCTTTAAAACATTTTTTAAGCTTCAAACTCTTGCTTCTGACTAAAATATGAGTCCTCTATCTATAATATTGCTTTCAGTGAAAAAAGTAGTCTTGTCCGCAACGTTTGCAAACGGAAACAAACCAAAACAGTTCTAAACAAATATGTCAATGGATTTTGATGTAAAAGGACACCAGGGATGGACTTTTTCAGCGTTATTATGGATTCTAAATTATTTTGGGCAGATGCGACAGCTTAAAGTTAAAATGCCTTAATGATGAATTTGTTTCTTACAAATACGCACCTTTTCACGTCACAATATTGTCAATTTATGGACTGGAGTCATGTTGATTACTTCTGGATAATTGTGATGTTTTAATCAGCTGTTTGGACTCTCATTCTGATGGCACCCATTCATTGGTAAGCAAGTGATGTAATGCTAAATTTCTCCACATCTGTTCCGATGAAGAAACAAACTCTATCTACATCTTATATGGCATATGGGTACATTCTCTGCAAATTTTCATATTTGGGTGAACTATTCCATTAGACTCAAGGGTTTAAAGACACAGTATTATTACTATTGCAGTGTGGTGGCAACAGCTAATACACCTCTACTCATTACATCGTAGAACATCTGGACCATTTCTTCATCTAAGGTGTTGACCGATACAGCTCACGCCTTTACAGAGCTATATGAGCAGAACGAGACAGGCTCGACATCTACAAAATTACCTTGTAATGCTACTTCAGATGTGTTGTTACAGGAAAAGTAGCCTTTCTTCATAGGTGATGAGTATAAACTTTTGAACTAAACATTGGTGGAAGTCAAAAGTACTATATAATATGAGAGTCCAAAGTTGACATCCATTCAAACTACAATAAAGAAATAATAGTGGGCAATTTAATATTCATTTCTGCTTTGAGCTGCTTTTCACTACACAAGAAATGCATTCATGCATTAAATTCAATTTAAAAATCCCTTAGAGACCCTCTTTTCTGTAAGTATTTACTTTCGTGCTGTGAGGGAAAGAGGTGAGGTGTCATGCAGTGTCATTTCCGGGCAGCTTTTAATATATAAATAAATATATGTATATATGTGTGCTTTGGAATGAAATTTTCTTCACTCTAGCATGTTAATCTAACAGTCATGGATTAATAGGCACATTGTATATTAGAAACATGCATGTGGCGAAGCCATTGTGTTACAATGAATAAAGTGGGCAATGTCAGAACAAAAACAGAAACCAATCTAATACATAAATGTTTTGGAAGCACAGAATGTGTCCAGCAAGAACTATCTTGTGTTTCATTTCATATTGACGTCAATGCTACAACGGCTTTGCAGTTGAGTTACTTGGTTACCAGTCTCAGCTCTTATGTTCTAATGTACACAGCATCAATGCAGTTTAGGAGAACAATTGTTTAACACCCTTTGGCAAAGTGTTCCCTAAAGCCCTTTCTAACTATAGTTTGTATTGTCATATGCATTGATATCACTTATCACACATCTGCTGTTCTCCTAATAAGATCTTCAGATGCATCCGAGACTTTAGGAAAACAGTAGTCTCTGCAAACGGAAGGACATATAAATAAATCACAGTGATCTATGAAATAGATGTAAAACAGTGGTTCTCAACCTTTTTGATTCCAAGGCTCTCCTTTGTCCAAGACAATATTTACAAGATGTTAACTGATGGACTGGAGTCACGTTGATTACTTGTGGATTATTGTGATGTTTTTATCAGCTGTTTGGACTCTCATTCTGTCGGCACCCATTCACTGTAGAGGATCCATTGGTGAGCAAGTGGTGTAATGCTAAATTTCTCCAAATCTGTTCAGATAAAGAAACAAACTAATCTACATTTTGGATGTTCTGAGGGTTTGTACTTTTTAAGCATATTTTAATTTTTGAGTGAACCATTCCTTTAAGATTATGTTAATATAATTAAATTTAAATCATATTAAGACTTATCGGGAAGCTTGGTTTAGGCCCCTAGTGGGGCCCTCTGGTTGAGAACCACTGATGTAAAGAATAAAAAAAACGAAATGATGTGTAAATAAGTATGGATTAAAAGCATATTGATTTTCTAATGACTTTCAAAATTCTTTTAAAGGTAATAATTTATCATCTTTGCTAGTTATTCTAGTTATTAAATTTACAAAATATCATCTTAAAAAAAACTTTCAGTATACAAAACATAAATATAGTAGCCAACATTTGAAGTGGATCAAAAAAGTTCATCAAAGTTGTCCTAAGACAAGAACGCATTTTGGTTTTAGGTTTTAAGACAACTTTGACGAAAGGTTTTGATCAATTTCAAATGTTGACTAGTGTAGATAAAACCAACCCAAAATAAAAAAAAATAAAATAAAAAAACCCCCCAGGAAAGTTGTAATAGACCTTTTGGAAATACACAGTCACTCATGCAGGAGCACACATTTTCACACTAAAAAGAAAGACACATTTCTATTCCTATGTAAATATTAGTGCTGTCAAATGATTAATCGCATTTAACTGCATCCGAAATAAAAGTTTTTGTTTGCATAATATATGTACAGTATGTGTACTGTGTATATTTATTATGTATATATAAATACACACACATGCATGTATATATTTCAGAAAACTATGTTGTGTTTATATATTAACTATATTTATAATATAAATATGTAAATACACGTAAATATTTTCAAAATATATACTGTATGTGTGTGTATTTATATATACATAATAAATATACACAGAACACACACATATATTATGCAAACAAAAACTTTTATTTTGTATGCGATTAATCGCGATTAATCATTTGACAGCACTAGTAAATTTCTCTATTACGGCCCCAGGTTTATTGTCTTTTCTGACATCCAGAAGGGCACATTTCAATGGTTGTTGAAATTGGTGCTTGTGAAATTGAAATCATCTATCAGTCTAGCAGTAAAAGAAGACACACACTGATATCTAATTACACCATGAGCAAAAGACAAGGTGAGGTGACGCACAAAAAAGTGGTCGATAGCCCTGTGCTCTCATGGCGGCTCCCTCTGTGTCACAGAAAACAGGAGGTGCAGTGTCCGTGTCGGCTGAAGTGAGAGGGAATTGTGTCAGTTTCAGCTCTCGACTCAGGAGACCCCAGCCACACAATAGAGTCCCTCTCGAAGCTGGTTTGGTACAGTGACGTATGAGTGTGCAGGAGAGGCCCGGATTACAGGATCCTGTGGGAAACGCTGTCCTGAGGACTGCTGTCTGCTGTAGTGTGTTTGAGCAGATCCAGAGGCATCAGGGGAAGAGGGTGGTTTTGTTCACTCACTACTGCCTCGTATGGGGGCGCCTCATCTAAAGGTAAGGCTGACAAAGAGATGGAGGCGATTGGCTGGTGCCTGAAGTCCTGTAGTCTGGTTGGGTAATGGGAAGAGCCACTTGCTGACACCCAAGATGCACCAGCGAGCAGATCCCCCATCTCTCTGTGACGGTGTGGGGCGGGATGCTCCCGGCACGGGTCTGTGAGGGAGTAGGGGGGCGGATCGTCCGTAGGAACATATATCTGCGTCCCTTGTCCCACACACTCATCATAACTGAAAGAAAAGACAATTTTGAAATAAATATTATATATCAACAATATTATGTAATTGATCTATTTATCAATATACTATACTACAGTTTGAAATTCGAAGGTCCTGTTGCACATCTTCTTTAGGGTAGCACATACAGTAGTATGTCCTGTATACATGGTAGGTTACATTTTATAACCACTAGAGGGCAGAACATTTATTTATGCTAAGAACCCTGAAATATGATTATCTCCTTACTAAATACCTATATTCTCTATGGGAAAACGATATAGTTTGATATTATAAAGACAACGTGGTGTTTCCAGAATTAAATAATTGACTTTTATACTGTTATTATAAAACATACACAAAAATGATTAAAATATCATATGGAAAATATTACATTCAAAATACACTGTGGTATATATATATATATATATATATATATATATTTTAACTTGCTGTCAATAGAACAAAATATTGTGATTAATCTTATGATTTGTCCTGATAGGTCAAGTTATACTTCATCCTTTTCTTAACACTCAGCAGCTGCAATGATGCACAAATAACATTCAAGCAATGAAACTAAAATTATAAATTAAACAATGTATGTATTAAGATTAAAGCATCATGTTGTGCATATTTAATATTTAACACCTTTGAAAGCTTAAGTATTTTTTCTTTAGATTTTCTTGGACCCCAACCACCCAGCCTCTAGGAGGTTAGGGTTCTCTAAGAATTAATATACTAAAATGAATACAGTAACATAACAATAACTATTATATCATATTTAATAAACAAATAAAAAAAAATCCCTTTTAAAGTTAAGTTGAGAGAAAAAAAAATCTAATATGTAGCTAAGACAAATAATAATTTGAAGCCATTTTACACTTCACTTCTACAATTCTACACTTCAAGTTCACAACATTTTACCAGAAGTGTCAGATTTATGATAGTATTGTGAATTTTTATGACTGTTATTATGAATGAGGTTTCTAAATCCAGTATATTTACATAGTGAGAATATTTTCGTATGCTATTATAACATCTGAATGCCAGACCCTCAGTATTACTGACATTTGATTCTCTTTTTGTTCCTTCCCACCACACTAAATCACCAATTTCAGTTTCTCTGTGCGACATCCTGCTGCACGGCAAACAAAGCTCCAGTCAAGCACATCAGATTTAAAGCCTGATGTGTCCATCCAAGAGAAAAGCAAACAAAACGAGAGACAAAGGGACTGAAATAGCCTCCTTGTTTGTGTGAAGGTGAGTTGTGTATGTGTGTGTGAGAGGTGAGCTACATTAACCAGGTTCATGGACACTTCCAGTAAAGTGAAGCAGTCTTATGCCTCTGACCTCAGCGTGCGCAGAGCACAGAGTGTTAGAAAGAGTAAGAGTGAATAGCAGCAAGGTAATTGGATCTCGGTATGGTTAACCATATCAGACTGTCAGTGAGAGCGGAAACGGGATGCTAGAATTGGTTTACGCTGCCACCCCAGGCATACACATGAGAGATGAACACAGAGAGAGAAGGCTTTGTGGTGGGCACAAAGATCTCTATTATAGACACATCTATTTTGTCTACATACAAAAGATGTGCAGATGAGTTAGTAAGATTATTATTTTTTTAATAAATTAATACTGTTATTTAGCAAGGATGCATTAAATGGATCAAAACATACAGTAAATGCATTTGTAATGATACAAAAGATTTAGGTTTCAAATAAATGCTATTTCATTCATTGATTCATTCATCAAAGAATCCTGAAAAACCTGTTTTCTAAATCATGGTTTCCACAAAAAAAATTAAGCTCCACAATTGTTTTCAAAACTGATAATAAGGAGACACATTTCTTGAGCAGCAGATCAGCATATTAGAATGATATCTGAAGAATCATGAGACTGAAGACTGGAATAATTACTGCTGAAAATTCAGCTTTGCCATCACATTGTAAAACACATATTCAAATAGAAAACAGTTATTTTAAATTGTAATAATTTTTCACAATGTTCCTGTTTTACTGTATTTTTGATCAAATGAATGTAGCTTTGGTGAGCATAAGAGACTTATTTAAAAAAAAAAAAAAAACCTCAATTTTTTAACAGTTTTTATTTTGATTTCTCCAAAATAAATAACACAATCTGAACACTTCGTACTTTTCCAAAATGTATTGAATACAAAATACATGCAGTACCTAATTTTCTAACACAACACAGATGTCGACAATTTAAAGTACAAGCATTCAAAATGGTCACTATCTGGTGTTGTATGAAAAAGAGCT